AACTTTGGAAGGAACCGGAAAGCCAATGCTAAACAGGGAAAACAGGAAAAAATTGTCCTCCTGCTCAAAAGATTGGGGAGGAGTGTGAACTGGGCGATAGGCAAACCTGTCTACTCCTATTGTGGAGAAACAATAAAAAATAAAATAAATCAAATAAATAATTAGTAAATAAAATTTCAGAGACGTTAGAAGTATAGATTTGAAGTGAACTTTGGAAGGAACCGGAAAGCCAATGCTAAACAGGGAAAACAGGAGAAAATTGTCCTCCTGCTGCAAAGATTATGGAGGAGTGTGAACTGGGCGATAAAAAGTGAGGTCAGCAATTGTTGACAGAAATAAAGCACTGATTTACACTATTCAAACGACTAATGATCCTACTATAAACTGCTTTAGAGTCATGAAGAAATGGATTTGGCGTAGTCAGGTACTGGTCCCCACTCTTACTGGTTGAATCACATAATTATGCTTATGATGAAGTCCACCCGGATCATTGTTTTAATGAACATTTTCATCGGACATATTCCGAGCTAGATTCATTTCATGATCAATGCATTGCTATAATCAAATCTGTCAAATCCGTAGGAATTTTATGACATATGCCAAAATCTTAAAGCTCATCTGACCTGTCACCATTTCAGATTTTATGAGCAAAAACTGTGAATTATGGAAAACGGATTGCCTGCAACATTGCACTTGTTAAAATCAAATGTCCATTTCTCCCGATGCCACGTGATTATTCCTACTTTTACTTTCATTTTTCTCCATCTAGAATAAGACATTTTATCGAAAGCTTTATTTTTTTTATTTTTTTTTTGTCATCATCTATGGCGCGTGAGGATTCCTATTTTCATTTTTACTTTCAATAGTTGATTTATATCTCTTTCTTGGTTCCTGATTTTTCCTTATATATTTTCTTTCTTTCGTTCTACAATTCTTTCTTTATTGTCTTAATGTAAGATTCTAATTTTCGTTCCGCTTTCTGCTCTCCGTGCTGTATTTTTATAACAACCATTTCAGCAGGTGAGCAATAAGCCAAACTCGCAAGAATTCAATGTTACAATCAATTTATAATTTTTAGAACTTGATCTCTCTCTACACAAACACACAGACAAAAGCAACCCAACTCACACACACACACACACACACACACACACACACACACACACACACACACACACACATATATATATATATATTCGTGTATTTAAACATCAGTCCTTCTTTCATGCACATTTTATTGAATACGACAGAGAAGATGCTTTGTTTTAGTTTTTTTTATACAATTTCTCATGCAGTCTATTTTTTTTTCTTTTCAGATGACAAATTATATAAGAACTGTCAGAATGTTCTTCGTTTTCAGAGCGCTTTCGGCTATACATTTAGCCATTTTCAAGGATGAAATATTTTAACATTTAATAAGAAATAGTTTGTTGCATCTATGTATTTATGTAATGTTTTAATTTTCCAAAACACGGTCAAGATATTATGTCCATGTTCATAGTTGTTATTACTGAGTGTTGGTGTTTTTGTTTTTATTAATAACGCTTCTATTATTTTTAGCCTTTTTTGCATGTAAATGATATTATATTTCTCAACAAGTATGTTACAAATAGATCATTCAAAATTGGTAAATAATTATATACCCCACACTACAACATGTTTGACACGCAGACTCACCATATATCTTTGTGACCATAGCTCAATTAGATCTCATTTACATATTCATGGAGACCTAATGGTATACAGAAGTTTAATATATGGTGGTCCTCGCTGGTGGTCAAATGATATGATTTCTCCGTATTTGTGACAGCAAGGCCCTTTGGTGTACCAAAGCACTCCTTATTATTCTTCTTGGATTTAGGAACGCTGTCATTTTGGTAGCATTGGATTTTCAATTCCTCTTAGCTAAGTGCTGAAGAAGGTTTAAGAAAAATAAAGAAATGGCGCCTGGGTAACGCAATTTTCACTCGAGGAAATAGCATTTTTTTTTTAACGTCATGACCTTCTGGAACGTATCAGCGATCTTCTAACCATTGTACTAAGACAGGGGAGTCCAGTATATTCTGACACGGCTCAAAGAGATGACATACGAGGTGGATTTGTTTTAGGAGTTACCTTCTCCTAGCCAAAAGAGGCAGGGCCTAAAAGGCAACAGGTCGTTGCATTTCTCAAAGCTGGTTTGACTTAACCCTCTCCAAGATGATTTGAATTCAGAGTTTTCCTTCCCCTAGACTAGACGAAAACCAAGGCTATTTTCATCCTATGTACCCTTAGCTAGAAGAAGAGGAGATGTATTCATGGCTTTCCAAGGTGTATTAGCCCGTAAGTAAATGTAATGTACTCGACTGGAATTTGAACTCGGCTCTCCGATTCTTCAATTCGTGCCGCTAACCATTATTCTACCGTCTTTCTAACTACCCTTCTTCAGCTTCTTCTCCTCCTTCTCCTCCTCCTTGTTCTTCTTGTTTCTTCTTCTTCTTCTTCTTCTTATTATTATTATTATTATATTTCGATTTCTGTTATGGCCACACTACCTACCAAGTCAGCTGGAAAATCTATGGCAGGTAGAGGTGTGTTGTTATGGCTAAATTTCATGATTTGTCTTTCACTTACATCACGAGCGTTAAACGGACAAAGGTTTTCTTAGTGTGTGAACTGTACTTATAAAGACATTCCTTTTATTTCTCTTAAGCTGGAATTTCCAGGGATTTTTTTCACTGGGTTGTTGTGTTTCCTTTTTATCATTCCAAGCGCACCTATTTTGACAGGTACTATTCTTGATTTCCATTTCCACATATTTTCTATTTCGATTTCCATGTTTTTATACTTCGATAATATTCCAAATTTCTTAGTTGCTATTATTAATGATATTTTATTTCCTTTTGATTTCTGGTGTGCACTGATTTCTTTCTGGGTCCCGCCCAGTGATCTAAGGTCAGAAATGGCATCATGACATTTTCCACTGGGTAATTTGAAAAAAAATCACATATTTTACATAGAAAACGCCTTTCGGAAGGTGTGTACTGTCCTTGTGAGAACAGTCTTTTGGATTTCTTTAAGGTATTGGCTACCAGAAATCGCTTCAAGGTGTGTACTGAAATGTTTTCCAATCGATCGGAGGGCTCAAACTACAACTAGAATTGCTGATGTCCTCACGTGCCACATTTTAGAGATTTCGCTATCAAGCTCCTTGCATTTTGATAGCTTTGAAGATCTTCAAAGATATATTGCAGACTGAAGGGGCTGTCCTATCAATAAGGAGGCACTTATTCTCTTTGCGATCTCTAATTACGATGTCTGGGAAATTAGATTTGATTTTTCTGTCTGTGTGTATTGTCCCATAAAATTGTAACAGATCCTATCTACGTCACCGGGTCTGGGTGTTGTTCACACCAATTTCTTGCAGTTTGCTTCCCGTAAAAGTTGCAGATTTTTCCAGTGCAGATATTGGCCCACTCTGTCATACCGGGTTTTAGTCCGACAATTATCTGCTTTTTGACTGATCTTTGAGTGAAAATTTCAATCTAAGGGGCTAGCAGATTGAGAAATGGCCTTAAATGTAAAATCTATTATTATTATTATTATTATTATTGCTGTTGATATTATTATTATTATTTTTATTTCCTTTGATTTCTGGCGTTTACACATTTCTTTCCGGGTACCGCTCAGGGACCTAAGGTTAGAAATGGCATCATGACACTTTCCATTGACAAAAAAAATACATAGATAAAGCCCTTCGTAAAGTGTGGGCTGTATTTGTCAGAACAATTTTTTGTATCTCTTTGAGGCATAGACTTCCAGGAATCCCTTCAATTCATCTACTGGAATCTTTTCCAAACAATCCTAGGGCTCCAGCTACAACAGGGATTGTTGATGTTCCCATATGCCACATTTTTGGGACTTCTATTTCAAGTTCCTTGTATTTTGACAGCTTTTTGAATATCTTCAAAGATACATTGCAGTCTGCAGGGACTGCCATATCAATAAGGAGGCACTTTTTGTTTGTGATCTATAATAACACTGTCTGGGCGGTTGGCTTTGATTGTTCTGTCAGTGTGTATTGTGTAGTCCCATAGAATTGTAACAGGTCCTATCTCCGTAACCGGGTCTGGGTGGTGTTCATACCAGTTTCTTTCAGTTTCCTTCCCGTAGAAATTGCAGATTTTCCAGTGCAGATATTGGCTCACTCTGTGATGCCGGGTTTTATACTCAGTGGGTGCCAATATCGTGCAACTTAATACAAGATGATCAATTGTTTCTGGATATTTATCACAGAATCTGCATTTTGGGCTAACACAATATTTTAGTATATGTGCTTGATAATTCTTAATCAACAAGCATTGGTCATGTGCAGCAAGGATAAAACCTTCAGTTACAGCTTTCAACCCTGCATATTATTATTATTATTATTATTATTATTATTATTACTACTAGCGTTAGACGGGAAAAGGTTTTCTTATTGTGTGGACTGTACTTATTAAGACATTTCTTTTATTTATGTGTATTGGGAAGTCCCATTATTATTATTATTATTATTATTATTATTATTATTATTATTATTATCCTATTTTTGTGAGGGTGGGGAGGAAACGGATTCAGATAATTCACAATGCTATTTGTGCGAAAATAAACGCAACAGATAAGGCCAGGACTTGAACTCGGCTCGCCGATTCCGAATTCCATATCGATAACCGTTACGACACCCACGCTCTGTGCACTGTACAAATCAGCATTCATTGTCTGGTGTTTCGTCTCGCCTGAAAAATCGATCCTAGATCCCAAATGTTGACTACACTTAGCTGCAAGAGGTATTAGAATGCCAATGAGGTTTGACGTTCGTACACGTGAAACTGATGAGCGAGGCAATCTAGCTACCGACACGTCTACGGTAGGCGCCCTATCATTGCTATGTTAATTACTTATTTAATATAATTCGTGCAATTAGGAGATTCACTGGTCATAATCGTAGTGATAGCAGTGATGCGAAAACGGGTGCAATTTCACGTAAGTAAAGAAAAAGATAATGATGGTTGCAACGATGATAAAAAAAGAAAGTTGTTCGGAGAAAAGGAATGGTAATAATTGTTGTTTTTGCTGTAGCCTGGTGTTCTACATTCAGTGCAATGGGGGAGGGGTAGCGGAGAGTGGAGGGCGGTCACAAAGAAACCCTTGAAATTCTTGGTGAAGATTATCTTCAGTGAAATATGCAGACTACGAAGTGCGCAAGAAAGATAGGAAAGGAGAGGAAGGAAATTAAAGGAATAGAAAGGAAGGTGGAAAGAAAGATAAGAAAGAAAGAAAGAAAGAAAGAAAGAAAGAAAGAAAGAATGAATGAAAGGAAGAAAGAATGAAAGAAAGAAAGAAAGAAAGAAAGAAAGAAGAGAACGCTGTGCAACAGACAAAAAAGGAAGGAGAAGAAATACGAGAACTAAATTTAAGAGACGAAAAGAAATAAATGCAGCAGACAAGGAAGAAATAGAAAAAGAAAAAGATTGAAAATAAAGTGCATTAGTCAAATAGAAACAAGGGGAGGAGGAAGAAGAAAATATGATCGCCAAATGCAATAGAAAAAGAAGGAGGAGTAGGAGGGAGGGAGGAGGAGGAGGAAGAGGAGGAGGAGGAAGAGGAGGAGGAAGAGGAGGAGGAGGAGGAGGCAGAGTGCAGTAGACAAAGATGAAGAAGACGAAAACGAAGAAAAAGTTGGGGACCGAATATAAGAGAAGAAAATAAAGGCAGTCGACAAGGAAGAAGAAAAAGAAGAAGAAGAAGAAGAAGAAGAAGAAGAAGAAGAAAAAGAAGAAGGAGAAGAAAGACCAAAATATTTAAGACAGAGTGAAAAAGAAGAAGTATGTAAACTAACTGTAACAAAAATAAGAAAAGAAGAAGAAAAAGAAGGACAAGAACAAGAAGAACAATAAGAAGAAAAATAAGAAGAATACAATGGTAAAAAAAAATGAGCAGAAGCATTACAAGAAGGGGGAAAAAGAGAAAAGATGAAAAGGGAGAGAAAGAGAATAGTATATTAGAGTTTTGATGAAGCAAATGTGGAAAGATTAAAGGTGAAGAAAATATAAAGAAAATAAAAAAAGAAATGAAGCAGGTAAGAAAAAGTTGGAAAATAAGAAACAAAGAATTTTACGAAAAAAAGGAAGAGGAATGGAAAAGAATTAGAAAGGGCGGAAGAAGAAGAAGAAGAAGAAGAGAAGAAGAAGAGAAGAAGAAGAAGAAGAAGAAGAAGAAGAAGAAGAAGAAGAAGAAAAGATATAAAAAGACAGAGAGATGAGGCAGAGATGTAAGGCAGAAAAAATTAAAGTTGAAAAGAAAGAGGAGAAAAGAAAGAAGTAGATAAAAGGGGCGAAAAAGAAGAAAGACAATGTAAGTGAGAAGGAAAAGGGAGAAGGTTAAGTTTAAAAAAGAGAGAAAAATATCAAAAGAAATGGAAAAAGAAAGAAAAGAAAAAAGGCAAAGAAAAAAAAATTAGAAAGAAGGGATGAATAAGTAAACTAAAAATGAAAAAGAGATAATGTAAAAGAAAAGTAAAAGAGGAGCGAAAGAAAGAAAGAAAGAAAGAAAGAAAGAAAGAAAGAAAGAAAGAAAGAAAGAAAAGGAGACGCAATAAAAAAAGAATAGAGAACTTTCGATAAAAAAAAGTAAAATAAAGAAAACAGAGAAAACAGTAACGGAAAAAAAAAGAAAGAAAGAAAAGAAAGAAAGAAAGAAAGAAAGAAAGAAAGAAAAAGAAAGAAAGAAAAAAAGCTACAAGAAAGTCAAAAATAAAAATAAAAGAAAATGCAAAGTGAAAAAAAGAAAGAAAGGAAAAAGAAAGAAAGAAAAGAAAAAAAAAGAAAAAAGCTTGAAAAAAAAAAAAAGAAAAAAGAAAAAAAAAAATAAAAGAAACAGGAAAGGAGACGGAATAAGAAAAGAATAGAAAAAATTGAAAAAAATAAAATAAAGAAACCAAGAAGAAAAGAAAGAAATAAAGAAAACAAAAAAAGAAAAGAAAGAAAAAACAAACAAACAAACAAACAAACAAACAAACAAACAAACAAACCAAAAGAAAGAAAGAAAGAAAGAAAGAAAGAAAGAAAGAAAGAAAGAAGGCAAAAATAGAAGAAAATGAAATGCATCAATGCCAATAAAATAAAAATACCGAAGCAAACGCAGGGGAGAGTGACGGAAAAGAAAGAAAGCAAGAAAGAAAGCAAGAAAGAACAAACAAACAAGAAAGAAAGAAAGAAAGAAAGAAAGAAAGAAAGAAAGAAAGAAAGAAAGGAAGAAAGAAAGAAACAAACAAAAAAAGAAACAAACAAACAAAACAAAACAGAAACGAGGCGAAAACTCCTGAACAAAAGCAGAATATACAAAATAAAAGACCAGAAATGAGGGGGAAAAAAAAAGAAAGAAAGAATCGAAAATGTAAAGAAAGAAAGAAAGGAGAAAGACAAAGAAAACAAAGAAAAATTAAAAGCGAAAGAGAAGCAGAAATCAATATCCAATAATGTGAGGAATAATGATCGGCATATTTTTGTGTCTATTTTTCACTCCGATGAGCGAAAACGCGACAGTTGCATTGTTTATATTTCAACTGGCTGCTACCGCTGTTAATAAAACCATCGCTGCGCTTGCTCACTGAAATCAAGCGAACGCTTACATGAAATAAATAAAAAGAGAAATAGCAGGCAGAAAAACTAACGATTCCCATGTTATACAATATCATTCAATACTCCTACTACTCAGCGGTAGAAAAAAGACCTGGAGTTCCAGGAGTTGGAGGAGGAATAATAATATTAATCTAGCAGGTTGATTTAAATGGTGAAAACGATCCCGAAATCATTGGCCTTAAGCAAATAAATATTACAAAAATGAAATAGTATTTTGGTCTTAGACCAGCCCCGAAAGAAAAGTGGCCCTCGTATGGAGCAAATTATAATGGGCTTGTTACTTTAAATGCATTCAAATCTTTATTACGTACCAGACATTTCTAGATCTGTTCGAGGATAGCCGAATCTAAGTGAAGAATATTTGTATTTGTATATTATTTACATTATTCGGACTATTGTCTTCATTTTTGTCGCCATATTTATCACAACGTTTCGGCCGTTGTACACTCCGGCCTTCTTCAGGGTGTTGGAATATCGATCTGAACCCTTTATTTCGCTCACTGGGGTAGACTGTTCCAGTTCTACGTACCATGGATGTCAGTTATCTCCTGTTAAATCCCCTCTCATTTCTCCACCGCCTTAATAAGGTATTGAACTCGCGCTCTTTGTGTCCTGTCACTGGATCTAACTATCGCCTTTATCCACTGTGCAATGTGCCATTGCACCCTTCAGACATGTCAAAAACAGCAGAGCTTGATGAAAAAAAACACGCCCTAAAATTAATCAAACTTTTTTATTGTTAAAATTCTTGTTCCAGCTTTAAATAATCCACAAACAGTTGATAAACCGTAAAAAATACACAAATCGGTCAACCCTGTGCATTACAATCTTAACCTTTTCAAGTCAAGGTTCAATCGTTAACTATCCTTTTTATTCTCATAATCTACGTTTCTATCGCCCCATTTACATTAATATCACATGTCATTCATCATAACTAATTCAAACTTAAGTATATGTGCATATTTCTGAGATGAGGTATTATGTACACTATTTACATTATTCGGACTATTGTCCTCATCTTTGTAGCCATATTTATTACAAAGTTTCGGCCCTTCAGTATCTGTCTATATTTCTGAGATGAGGTATTATGTACACTATTTACATTATTCGGACTATTGTCCTCATCTTTGTAGCCATGGTTATCACAACGTTTCGACCATTGTACGCTCCATCCTTCTACAGTTGGTTGGAATGTTGAACTGAACCCTTTATTTCGCTCACTGGGGTAGACTGTTCTAGTTCCACGTGCCATGTCTAATGGACGCCATTTATTTGCTAATTCCCCTATCAAAGTTCTCCACCGCCTTAACCACGTATTCAATTCTGACTTGAAGAGGTTAAGATTGTAATTCACAGTGTTGACCGATTTGGGTATTTTTCACGGTTTATCAACCGTTTGTGCATTATTTAAAGCTCGAACAAGAATTTTAACAAGTTTGATTAATTTTGGGGATTTTTTTTCAAGCTCTGCTGTTATTGCCATGTTTGAAGGACACATTGCACAGTGGATAAAGACGAAAGTTAGATCCAGTAACAGGACCTCAAGAGTGTGAGTTCAATAACTGGTTAAGGCGGTGAAGAAATTTGAGAGGTGAATTAACAGAAATAATGTAAATACTGTATACAATGCCTAACTTCAGAAATATAGACATATTTGTATTTGTGTCAGGTTCTTTCTCAGTGAAGTGTTAGGCTTAGGGCAAGAGTCAGACTTCGGAAACACTGGACCGTATGTTACCAAACTGGTCGTGATGTCTTGTTTTGAGATCTAGCTCAAATATCTCACCTCTACAGACTTCCAAATATCGGTCTTGCAGTAGTTAATCTATAAATCCCGGGTACTGGGAAACAAGTCAGACCAAAAACACTTCAGCAAATAAAGAATTTTATTTTACAACAATTATTTAAAAGTAGAAGTAAAACTATCATTAGTTTTTCAGAATTTTTAAATTTAAGTAGGCACCTAATTATACTTCGGAATAACTGGAAGCCGAGGTAAATTACGGAGGACGCTAAGTGATACAATTAAATAAATGATAAATGACTGAGTAAACGCTGTTATTGTTGTTTAATTTTTATTTTTTATATAATGTAACTATTATTTATATTATTTAGTTTGCTAAATTAATTCACTGCTGCCATATATGGTCTGGTCCCCACCCCACTGTTAATCTCGAGGTCCTTGACAAAATCCAGAGACGGAGATGCAATGTAATAGGTCCTGATCTGGCATCTCGTCTACAGTCACTTTCTCACAGACGTGATGTGGCTTCCTTCTGTCTTTTCTACAAATATTTTCATGGCAACTGCTCTGACGAGCTACTTTCACTGGTACCCCAACTGCATGAATTTAAGCGTGCTACTAGGTTGGCATCACAGTCCCACCCTTTCACTGTCGATACGGGTAAATATAGCCGCCTCTTCTACTCTAACAGATTCTTATCCCGAGCTTCTCGACAGTGGAACTCCCTTCCTCTTAAATGCTTCCCTGGTAGCTATAATCTTCAAATATTCAAATGTAATATCAATCGATATCTTCTTGCTTGAGGTGAAATGCTTAAAAAAAGCTAGCTAGCTTAGATAGAATAGATAGATACATAGATAATGATAGATAGATAATAATGAGCATAGATAGATAGATAGATAGATAATGAATGAAGATAGATAGATAGATAGATAGATAGATAGATGAGATAGATAGATAGATAGATAGATAGATATAGATAGATAGATAGATCACATATACAAATGTAATATCAATCGACATCTTCTTGCTTGAGGTGAAATGCTTAAAAAAGCTAGCTAGCTACCTCGATGAATAGATGGCACGTGGAACTAGAACAGTCTAAATGAAGTGTGCAGTTCGATATTCCAACCAACTGAAGAAGGCCGGAGCGTACAACGGCCGAAACGTTGAGATAAACATAGCGACAAAGATGAGGACAATATTCCGAATAATGTAAATATTTGGTCTTGTCATTTTCCACGCTGAGGATTATAAAAGATTTGTAGATGCCTTTTTTGTGGAAATTGTATTCAATAAATATGCATAAATTTAGTTAAACTTGAACTTTCAACGTTATTTTTAATATTTAAATGAAGATACCAAAAGGGTTCATCGCTAACATGGTATGGTTGCATGAAATGTGCAGCTACTTTAAGAACGATTTCCTTGTCTTTGAGAGTTTTCTCATATTTATTAAACAATGCCGCAATTCAGTAACTATTTCTCCGATATATCGTATATACTCGTATATCAGGCGACGTTGAAGACCTAATTTTGAAGCTAATTTTAAAGGGGGTCGCATCATACACGAGATAACAAAATAAGCGTATGTATTGCTGGTCCCGGCTACACCTTTGTCTAAACTATATATCAATTTCTTCCTTTTTATGTGCCATGTCATTTCAGGATGTAGGCGATCATGGATCTCCACCTCCTTCTATCCCTTGCAGCTCTCAACAAGTTCTTTCCCAATGCTTCCTCTCCCTGATCACATTCTGTCATCCACTTGCTTAAGTCTCCTAGTTATGTCATTGCCTTGTTTATCTTTCCCTTCTTTCCTTTTATGTGCCATGTCCTTTCAGGATGTAGGCGATCATGGCTCTCCACCTCCTTCTATCCCTTGCAGCTCTCAACAAGTTCCTTCCCTCAGTTTCCTCTCCCCAGATCACGTTCTGTCATCCACTTGCTTAAGTCTCCCTAGGTATGTCATGCCCTTGTTTATCTTTCCTTTCTTTTCCTTTTATGTGCCATGTCTTTTCAGGATGTAGGCGATCATGGCTCTCCACCTCCTTCTATCCCTTGCAGCTCTCAACAAGTTCCTTCCCTCAGTTTCCTCTCCCCAGATCACGTTCTGTCATCCACTTGCTTAAGTCTCCTAGGTATGTCATGCCCTTGTTTATCTTTCCCTTCTTTCCTTTTATGTGCCATGTCCTTTCAGGATGTAGGCGATCATGGGTCTCCACCTCCTTCTATCCCTTTTGCAGGTCTCAACAAGTTCCTTCCCCAGTTTCCTCTCCCCAGATCACGTTCTGTCATCCACTTGCTTAAGTCTCCTAGGTATGTCATGCCCTTGTTTATCTTTCCCTTCTTTCCTTTTATGTGCCATGTCCTTTCAGGATGTAGTCGATCATGGCTCTCCACCTCCTTCTATCCCTTGCAGCTCTCAACAAGTTCCTTCCCTCAGTTTCCTCTCCCCATATCACGTTCTGTCATCCACTTGCTTAAGTCTCCTAGGTATGTCATTGCCTTGTTTATCTTTCCCTTCTTTCCTTTTATGTGCCATGTCCTTTCAGGATGTAGGCGATCATGGCTCTCCACCTCCTTCTATCCCTTGCAGCTCTCAACAAGTTCCTTCCCTCAGTTTCCTCTCCCCAGATCACGTTCTGTCATCCACTTGCTTAAGTCTCCTAGTTGTCATTCCCTTGTTTATCTTTCCCTTCTTTCCTTTTATGTGCCATGTCCTTTCAGGATGTAGGCGATCATGGCTCTCCACCTCCTTCTATCCCTTGCAGCTCTCAACAAGTTCCTTCCCTCAGCTTCCTCTCCCCAGATCACGTTCTGTCATCCACTTGCTTAAGTCTCCTAGTTGTCATTCCCTTGTTTATCTTTCCCTTCTTTCCTTTTTATGTGCCATGTCCTTTCAGGATGTAGTCGATCATGGCTCTCCACCTCCTTCTATCCTTGCAGCTCTTAACAAGTTCCTTCCCTCAGCTTCCTCTCCCCAGATCACGTTCTGTCATCCACTTGCTTAAGTCTCCTAGTTGTCATTCCTTGTTTATCTTTCCTTCTTTCCTTTTATGTGCCATGTCCTTTCAGGATGTAGGCGATCATGGCTTCCACCTCCTTCTATCCCTTGCAGCTCTCAACAAGTTCCTTCCCTCAGCTTCCTCTCCCCAGATCACGTTCTGTCATCCACTTGCTTAAGTCTCCTAGTTGTCATTCCCTTGTTTATCTTTCCCTTCTTTCCTTTTATGTGCCATGTCCTTTCAGGATGTAGGCGATCATGTCTCTCCACCTCCTCCTATCCCTTGCAGC